TAGTCGAGGTACTAGTATTCACTAATTTGTCGTTTCAAAAGTTTTAACTTTTGATCAACAATAAACTTTTCCCAAACGTTGAACAAGTATTCTGTAGAACCATAGAAGTAGAAGAAAGGGTAAATGAATAAATTGGTAACAAATTTTTCTTGGAACTGTGATCCGGTTGTTACCATGAAGAGCAATGTTCTTGGTCGATGGTACTCACGATTTAAGATAGTAACCTAACCTACTATCTTAAATCGTGATGGTACTTGATATTTGTTTGATAGTGATTTTTTTTATCATAAATAATGTTGTTGTTTTTATCCGATTATATTATGGATAATAATTCATAAATCATAATATTTAATCTGTGTTTATAGTTAAAGATCTGTTATTGACATTTGACAGACCCATAGTAAAGAGATTACCACCTGTCAATCGTCGTTCGTCGGTCACTCAGACTTAGTTATTCGTCACTCTTATGTTCGATGTTGTGAATTATTTATAACCGACTACTCATTACCTATTAGGTGATGCACTAATACAGATGTGTTTGGTCGAGGGCTGTTTATTCTAAAATATTTACAACTTTAATAACCTGATAGCTTTGTATTCCCTTATCGTCCACTGCACTATTTTTCCATTACATTAAAAAAAAATGGGCAAAACAAGAAAAGAACATCCAGGTAATTTTTACAGTTGTTTGCTGTGGTTTGAAAATGGTATATATTCGATCGTACTCTCAATATCGAAACCCCCAAATGATATGACTAATCATAAAGTTTCATTGTACAATGTCATTTAAAATCATAGTAATTGTTAATTTGTATTGATGCTGTCACTGAGGTTTTTTCGATAACCCACTAGACAGGTCGACTCATTAGCTATAACATTTATTAGTACTTTACACCACATACGTCATGCTGTGTACTTTCATAATATATGGTTCATACCATTTTATTGTAGCTATAATATAAAACTAAAAGTCAACTTATTAGGGTTAAAATGGTTTTTATAGTGTTTAAATACATATAAAATGTTAACACTTGAATTGCCTTAAATAGAGTACTTATGTATAATTATTAATTATATGTGATTAACTATTAGTTTTTTGTCAATATCTACAGTACAGTCATATATTTATCAGTAGTAATACAATATTACAAAATTAGGCGAATAAATAGTATACATTTGATTTTTAATTTAATAATTTTATAAACTGTTTTCAAATCATTGTTTTTTAGAATTAACTTTATTTAGCTATATAATGTTATATTTTTTTTACTGTATTGTTATTTTTCTTAAATGTTTGATTAAACATTTCTCTTTTAGAGAAAAGAGGCAGGAAAAGAAAGAAGGATGATTTTGATGAAAACTCTATGGGTTTGGATGATCCTGTGTTATTAGCTGTTAATGAAGAAGGTATTTAGTAACAATGTATTTTTTATTATTTAAGTACACTATTTATATTATATTTTTAAATAATACTTTTTTTAATTTGTAAACTAGAGGGTTTACCAAGCGCAGCTAAAAAGTCTGCCGAAACTGCTATTAACAGTGTCGAAGATGAGTTTGGAGCTAAAGACTATAGATCACAGATGAACCTTAAAATAGATCATGCATCTCGACCATTATGGGTTGCTCCTGATGGACATATATTTCTTGAATCTTATTCGCCTGTGTATCGCCATGCTCATGACTTCATGATTGCTATTGCTGAACCAGTTTGTAGACCAACTCATTTACATGAAGTAAATATTTTTCATTATTTATTATTTTTACTACTTAAATAAGACATTTAAAATTTTTTTTTCAGTATAAATTAACTGCTTATTCATTGTATGCAGCTGTTAGTGTTGGATTAGAAACTAATGACATAATTGAATATTTGAAACGTTTAAGTAAAACTAGTATACCTGATGGTATAATAGAGTTTATAACTGTGTGTACACTTTCTTATGGAAAAGTTAAACTTGTACTTAAACATAATCGATACTTCATTGAATCACAACATCCAGATATTTTACAAAAGCTTCTTAAAGATCCTGTTATTGGTTCCTGTCGTCTTAAAAGGCTGGAGGATACTGATGCATTGATCACAGAAGAACAAAAAATTGAAAAATCACATGTAATATACACTTATTTATTTATATTTTTATATTACAATATATTTTCAATGTTCGGTTGTTACTTTTTAATAATAATTAGGTAACACATAATAAGATTATAACTAGATTTCTATTTTGTTATTTAAACAAAAAAAATACAAAATAGTAGGTTACTTTTGTTTTATTTAAAAGTAACTAATAACTATTCACTAGTTAAAAAAATACTAATTTAAGTTACAATAATTTTACGTACAAAAGTAACTTTATTCAGTTACTTACATGACTATATTTTTATAGTTTTATTAATGAAATGTACATAGGTAATATTATTTATGGCTTATGGTTTATATTTAAATATATTATTTTATGATTGATTGAATTTTATAAATATTAGAATACTATAAAATATGTGGTATGATTTTTAACTTAATTTAAAAACTTAAAACAATATTTCATTGGTTGTTTATATGTGAATTATTTTTAGCTAGGTGACAATGTTACAATAATTCCTATGACTAATAAAGTATAAGTACTATTTTGTCTTTTAGTTTCCTGGAGATTCTGCAAAAGACAAAGAAGATCATTTGAATGATGTAGTTCCAAAAGATATAACAGATTTATATGAAAAGATTGATAAAGTTGAAGAAGAAGAAGAAGAAAAAACACAAAATCTTGTATCATTTGAAGTCCAACAAGAAAAAATTGAAATCATACAAAAGCGTTGTATAGAGATCGATACACCTCTATTGGTTGAATATGATTTTAAAAATGACAAAGTCAATAAAGACATTAAGTAAATAAATAAACATATTTAATAAAACATTATTTAAAATAGTAAGTAGTACATTTCAATTTTATCCATAGCATAGATTTAAAACCTCAAGCAACATTAAGACCTTATCAAGAAAAGAGCTTGAGAAAAATGTTTGGAAATAGTCGTGCAAGATCAGGAATTATTGTGTTGCCATGTGGTAAATATAAAATGTTTTAATTATAGTATATTTTAAGATTTTAATGTATAGTTATCATCTGATAACTAGGTGTAACACTAAACCACTGATTCTCAGCATCTTGCGGTATTTATTTAATCTATTAAGATTTATGAATAAAACAACTTGTATCTTATATTGACAAATGGTCAGTGCACTGATATAGTGTAAAGAATACTTAAGTAATAAGTAATAACATTTGTTTTTTAAATAAATACTCATGATAATTTTTTGTAATTGTTGGCTTATAGGAGATTACTCGGAAGAGTAAACCAATTACTAAGGCCCAGTTGTATATTATGCTGAGCTTTTAACCTAAGAAATGTACACTATAAAATATGCATTTATGCTCTTATTTTGTAGAAATATACCCTTTAAAATAATAAATATGCGAAAAAAATTGAATAGTGATTCTCATTTTAGTAATATTTTTATATTTAATTTTGTTTTTAGGTGCTGGAAAAAGTTTGGTAGGTGTAACAGCTTGTTGTACTGTTCGTAAACGTGCATTAGTCCTATGCAATTCAGCGGTGTCTGTCGAACAGTGGAAGTATCAATTTAAGATGTGGTCTACAGGTATTTATTATTAGTTGAAAATTTAAAAGAATACAGATTTAAAATTATATTATTTGTTCCTAGCTGATGACAGTTTGGTATGCAGATTTACATCTGATGTTAAAGACAAATTAATGGGCTGTGGTGTGTTCATTACAACTTATTCAATGATAACACACACACAAAAGAGATCTTGGGAAGCTGAACAAACAATGAAATGGATTCAAGAGCAAGAATGGGGTATAATGGTGTTGGATGGTAAGAAACATAACTTTCATAGTTTTTCTGCAGGAGTTAATACGTATAATGTTTATTTTAATTGTATAGAAGTACATACCATACCAGCTAAAATGTTTCGACGTGTATTGACACTAGTTCAATCACATTGTAAATTGGGCTTAACAGCCACGTTATTACGAGAAGATGATAAAATTGCGGATTTAAACTTTTTAATTGGCCCTAAACTTTATGAAGCTAACTGGTTGGAACTGCAGCAAAAAGGTTACATAGCCAAAGTTCAGTGTTCAGAAGTATGGTGTCCGATGGCACCAGAATTTTATCGTGAATATTTAGCTACTAGAACATGTAAAAAAATGGTATTGTATTACAATTTTAGTGTTTCTTAAACAATATAATTAATATATTATTAACGTGTATCCTTTTGTGCAGCTTTTTTTTGTAATGAATCCGAATAAATTTCGTGCTTGTCAATTTTTAATACGTTATCATGAACAACGAGGAGACAAAACTATTGTCTTCTCTGATAATGTATTTGCCCTTAAGGAATATGCCTTAAAGTTAAGTAAACCGTATATTTATGGGCCAACATCTCAGGTAATAAATCTTAATCAATATTTTTAAATTGTTGTAGATTAACAATTAAATATCAATATAATGTGTATTTCATTTTTATGTGTGTAGGCAGAAAGAATCCAAATATTACAAAATTTTAAATTAAATCCAAAAGTGAATACCATATTTGTCAGTAAAGTTGCTGATACATCATTTGATTTGCCAGATGCTAATGTTCTTATACAAATTTCCTCTCATGGCGGAAGCCGGCGTCAAGAAGCGCAACGTCTAGGTCGTATCTTACGTGCTAAAAAAACTGCAATTGCTGAAGAATATAATGCATTCTTCTATACCCTAGTGTCACAAGATACAATGGAGATGAGCTACTCAAGAAAACGACAAAGATTTCTTATCGATCAGGGGTACAGTTACAAGGTGGTTACAAAACTTGCTGGAATGGACGAGGTAAACACTTTATACTTAAAAAAAATTAGTATACAACTATTTTGAATTTTTACTGTATTTTTACTTTAGGATCCAGAGCTTTTTTATTCTAGTAGAGAAGATCAGGGTTTATTATTAAGTAAAGTATTAGCAGCCAATGACACTGATGCAGATGAGGAACGAATGCCGTATGAGGGTACATCATCCAAGTCCTATAAGAAAATGTCTGGTAAAATGAGTTCTATGTCTGGTGCTGATGATGCTGTTTACGCAGAATTCAGAAGAAATTCTGGTGTAAAACATCCTTTGTTCAAAAAATTCAGAAAGTGATGTTTGTAATAATAATGATAACATACTATTAATCTAAGAAAATAAATGTTAGTTTTGTAATGAAATGAAACATTTGTACTTCAGTAGTATTAAGTCATTTTATAAAACAAAATATATTTTGCTTACCGTTATTTGTTTTATTTCTTAGAACTTATTATTGTAATGAATTCTAAAACGAAAATATTTTAATTTTTTTTAGTTTAATTGAAAATATTAACATTCATTCTTACCTTTATAATCAATTTTTTTGTCACCATTTAAATCGGCTTCTTTTATCATATCCTCAATTTCTTCATCGGTGAGTCGTTCTCCTATACTACACATAACACGTTTGAGCTCATCAAATGTTATGAATCCATCTCCATTTTTGTCAAATACTCTAAATGCTTGGTGCATTTCTTCTTCACCATCTGCTGCTTTTAGTTTTCTAGCCATCATAAGCAGAAATTCATCAAACTCAATACTACCATTGCCATCTTTATCCACTTCTTTAACCATACCTCTCAAATCAGTTTCTAGACAGATACAATTATTACACATAATACATAAGTTATATATTAGATTCTGGGAACTTTAATGTATACATTTGTTTTACAATAATTTTTTTTGTCATTTATCTTTGAGCTGAAAATTTGCTTTAATCTTTAAAATTAGTTTCTTCTAGTACGTTTGAACTAGATTCTATAGGGTACTATTGGAGAGGTTCCCACTACATTTCTTAATAATTTTGAAAAATTAACAAAATAATGTGGGAAACAGTAATATTTTATGTAACATCAGTTTTAGACAACTAACTATTTTATTTTTTTATCTAATTAAGAAATTAACACTACTTGGAAATGTAAGTATTTAAAAATACCAAAAATACATATTAAAATTTTGTAATTTGAGTTATAAAGAATTACTTACCAGTAGGCCTTTGACCCAAAGATCTCATAACCACTCCTAGTTCTGCCTCAGTTATCCGTCCATCATGGTCTTTATCAAACAACATAAATGCTTCTTTGAATTCTAAACAAAGGCAAATGTATGAATATTATTTATATTTAAGTTTGACCTAAGACAAAAAGTATTGCAAACTTAAAATTTGGACACATGGGTAACCCACAATAGGTGGTTAATTTTGAAATTAATAACTTAACTTGATAGGTAGTATTAATAACTTAACTAATTAAAGTATCCATTGTAATAACTTATCTTTTTCTTATTAATTTCATTCATCACCTATGTGAAAATCAAGTTACTGCATAAGCATCACACAATAGATACCTACTATAGATAAACCTTAGGTAGACACCATACACCGTAGATTGTGATTTGTAATTAACTGGGTAGGTAACTATTATTTTTTGAATTAAGTATTCAGTTCATATAGAAAAGTGTAAGTTGAATTACTTTTATTTTTTTTAAGCTAATAAAAGTTACAAGTTGCCTACCTAGAAAATATAAGTAACTTAACTTAATCGAAAATCAGTTAACTTTTTTTCATGTAAAATTAAAGATTATACCTTTTTTAAAACTAACATAATTACATAGTAATTTAATAGAGGTCTTACGGTTTAATATAAATGTATGTATTTAAATTACTTCTGTAAGTACTTATACACTTTAATACATTAATCAATGGCGAAATCTAACAAAATAATTATTTTCATGTATTTGTTTGCCTTATGCTCCACAACAATTCTAAATTAGGTACAAACACTGTAAAATGGGAAGAATTGCAACAATTTTAGAGTTTTGCCTAACTGTAAGTCTGTAAACTTCATTTGAAAAATCAGGTATTCATACTACCTAGAAAGAAAATACTTTTTTTTAAATTGTTTATCATTAAAAATATGATCTTGAAATAAAACTCATACATTTTTTATTATTGTTTTTTTTTTATGGTTGCAATTAACCTTGTGGTTGGGGTGAATATTGAAACACGTATATTGCATGTTTACGTAAAACCCCGATTGAACAGATTATTGTTAAATATTTTGAAATAGATAACTATACTTTAGCCGCGTGATTTAATACAAGAAATTGGTGATTTAAAAATGACTATTAAATTTAAAAATAACCTTACATTGTAGTTTTATGAATTTCATGAAAATATACAATATTTTCCATACAATAAAAAAAGTACAGTGCTAGGTATATTTTGACTAGGTATATTAACCTTAGATCATATACCTACTGCTATTGACAACGATATGAGGGAGGAAAATGTAATTTTACTCCTCTAACTTCAACCCTTATTGGCTTAGTTCAGACCAGGTTAGGAGCTTAGGTACACATTGTACCTATTGTATAATATGCACAATATTTGCTACAAGCATACAATTTTAAAATATTAATTAATTAATTAAAATGTAGATAATATAGTATACTAGTATAATAATTAGGACTTGGATTATATAAATACCTTTAAAGGTTTCGAAAAATATTTAAAATGCCCTTTCAAAATATGCATTTATTGACCTTAAGACTAAAACATGTCCTAATGATGTTCAGAATTTATTCAGAAGTCAAGATAAATTTGTGATCTGTTTTATTTAAACATCATATTACTTTATATTTTTTTAGTACAATATGTGTATTTATATCTTATGTATTTATTTTTTTCGTAATATTACTAGAAATAGGTTAAAAAATTACCAAAAGAAAAAAATAAATACCTTAATTAATGCAACATTTAAAAATGCACTTTAATGTCAAAAAACAAAAAAACTTTAAAAAAATGACCCATAAAATAAAGGTTCGTTATTAGCATGGAGTATTAGCGTGTAACACATTTGTATCTTGGAAAGAATCGGGTCAAGCCTTCTAGAAGAAAAGAGGCAAATCCACCGAAATTTGAGGCCTAATAATAATATATTATACCTACTTTATTTCTGCATGTTTAGTTTAATATTGTACTGTAATTAGGTAGCTACTTCAAATGATACACTGACACTTGACAGGGACTAGATATCTATACGCTAATTAATAATTATACAATAACAACTTTACCCGCAACTTGATCTTCCGACAAACCGAATTCATTCTGAAATAAAATTTTGTTGTAAGTGTGCTTACTTCTCATTACAAGTTATTGAAAATAATAAATAGTATTATATAGGTAGTACTGATTGAGTCCGTATGTCATATCTACTCGTCAGTTTTCTTATTCTAGAATATTCATTTTTATAACGGTCATTATCACTATTCTTTGCACTCATATTGCGTCGTTATACCCGTAGACGATTATTTGATTTATTAATTGATTTATTTATTATACTTAATAAATAATAACTTTAGTTTGGGTTTTTTCAAAAATTACAATTTAAGAAACTATTAAAGTATGAACCACAATTTAATAAAACGTGCGCAGCATAATTTTATTATAAGTGTACTAATAGTAGGTATATATTTACGAGGAAAAGAAAAAGGAATTGGCGCCGTCATCTTCGCAGAAAGTTGGATGTGTTTATTATTTTTGTTATTAATATATATTAATACATATATATACAGCTCCCACTGCAGTAAATAAGCCAATTTATTTTTAGATGAAAGTGTTAAACACTTAAGCTGCTAGTGGATGAAAAATTATACACAATATCATAAAAGCGAAACTAGAAATTTTATTAGAACAGGCCAAATGATAAATATAAAAACAATTCTAATTAAAAAATAAGTTTTTCATTTTCATTTTAAATTCTAGTCAGTATTAGGCCAGGTCATATAGTCATGACCTGACTGTCCTGACCCGTAGTTTTGCTTTTGCACAATATAAATAAGTCTTAAGAAAAAAGGTACCTATACCTAATAATAACTAAAAATACTCTACTACTGCGTTTCTTAAACTTTTTATCCATGGAACCCTTTTTTGTGTGTACTTTTATCGTGGAACCTAACCTTATTTTAATGCTTTTAAAGCTATTAAATCTCGACAGTTAGAACCACTACTTTGTTTCAATATTTTCAATGCGTCATTTTGTGTAAGGATTATTTACAATAAAAGTTTTGATAATGTGTCAAAATTTAAAATTTAAAATTTTGAAAAAAGCCACAAGTTTCGCTAAACTTTGAAGTGACCTCCACAGAACCCTGGGGTTCCACGGAACACAGTTTAAGAAATGCTGCTCTACTATATTAGCAGGCCTGGCTTAATGGGTAGGTGACATTTTGAAGATATTGAAGAAAAATGTTTCACATATGTATTACTCGAAAAGGCGATGACAGACACAAAAATAAGTAGGAGCCCGGGAGTCGGGCCACAATTATCCTTTTTTCAAAAAGGTATACGGTTATTGGGCCACTCAAGTTTCACATACCTATATAACAGGTAGACCCGGCGATTGGACAACTATAACCAACGATTTTTTTATTATTGTGTCCGGTAATTGAGCCACTATTAAATTAATATGCCATATATAATGACTACAATACCTAACACTGCAGTGCACACAAGACACAACACACTAAACATTAATTGAAAAAATATTTATAATTACTTCATATTTTTCTAATTGTACGGACCTTGTATTAAATTTAATTTGTGAAATTTACGTATGGCATTATTGAAAAACACAATTGAATTATTATTTATTAGAGAACAAATATACCCACTTAAAATTATTTGACTAATTTTGTCGACCTTGTATTATGTTTAATTTGTGAAATCTGTGTGTAGCATTATTTAAAAAAAGTAATTGTACTATTATGTATATGAAAAAAAAACTAATTATTCAATAAATGTTGTATATTTGTATATTTTTGTGTTCTGCTGAATAACTTATGCATTTATGACCTAATCTCCGGTTACACTTAAAGAACATAGATTTATTTTGTGGCCCAATCTTCGGTAAGTAAAAGGTAAACAAATATTTTATACGACGGAAGCAGGTAGATAAAATGTGGTCCAATTACCGTCTGCCCAAATAAATGTTATCAGAAAATACATATCAATTATCATTATAAAATCCATACAGTCATCAGTCAGCTCGGAATCTAAAATTGAGCTAAATTATTTACCTTTTGAAAGTTATAGATCTAATTAGAGACGTAAATTCAGTTTTTTTCTGGTTGTGTAAACTTTAAGGTAGGCCAATTTTGACATTTCACCAGGCCATTAAAAAAATATAATATATTTATATACATAAATGTAGGTAACCTATACAAACCTATGGAAATATTCTTTTATTCCCTTTTATAATTCTAATTAAAACTAATAACGACTAATGCAACCAGCTAAAGTCATTTCACTATTTTTTGAAAAAAAGGCAAATAAGGTATAATCAATAAACCTCATAAACCAAAAATATACAACTTGGAAAAAAAAATATTTTTTTTATATTACCTATATTTGAAATTATTAACATATAAGTTAATTATGATGGGGCATTGGAGTATTAATGGTGGGCCAATCGCTAACATTTTTTAAGCTAGTGGTGCCGTTGCACTCCCTGCTCCCCCCGCCATGTCTACTTTATTAAATTAGGTATATTTTGACATAAAAATAATTGTAAAATGTCTATATTTAAGTAATACAATGATGTATTTAGCCATATATGTACGTAATATGCATATTATGATAATGCGACTAATACATTTAAATCATAACTCGAAGCCGTACGTCCGTACAGGATGTAATATAATTTCCCGCTGAAACATCTGTCGACTGGTAAAAATGATTGCAATTTGGCCTATGCAGTTTGCCCCTGGTTATCTTAACACTACATTTTATAGGGAAATAAATTGTTAAACAAGTAATTACATATATAATAATGAATAACTTAAGCTTGAAAAAAAATAAAACAAGACAATATTTGTTGTATGTTTTTGTCAATCTGTCAATCAATGTTTTCTCTTCGGATTGTTTGGACTCAGGCGAACTAATTGTTTAAACTGTCCGCGTATAATAGATGTGAAAGGTTTTGATGTTCTATCCAGGCCGAATTCTTCACATGTGTTTAGGAAGATGTCTTGCATGAATGGTATTAAACTGTGATCTAAAGTCGGAAATAAATGGTGCAACGTATGGTCACTAAACGTTACCAAAGATACAAATATATTATCAGTTATTTCGTTCCGTTCCTCGCTGGTATCCATTTGATGAATTCCCCAGTCGATGTTTTCTTTACCACTAAACAAAGTAATATAATATTATACATTAGTAATTAATTGTATCCATTTAAACTCATAACTACAGCTTTTTCATTAAATTAATGATCCCTGCTATAGAGCTATACAGCAGTGTTTCCCAAACTTTTTGCAATGGAGACCCATAAATTTAATCTTTATTGGGTACGCGACCCCCCAACTAAAAAAAAATCAAGTACATCATAAATTAATATTATTTTTATTATAATCAATTTTATCATTCTCGTCGATAAGATAACAAATATTCTATCATCATAATAAAATAATATTAAAATTACTAAAAATTACTTACACATTATTATACAATATAGAGGTGTTAATTATTTACGGCTAAAAATAACAGTAATTGTAACCACGAGTCTCGACCCATCTAAAAGATTTCCTATGGTTTGGGAAACGCTGCTACATTATTTTTTTAAATATTTCTTCTATTATACCTATTATTTTTGTTTTATAGATACATATAATAATATATGATCATAATTAGTGTTATGTTAATTATTTAACTAATAACTAATACATATAATATACAATATCTATTTTTTTTTTTTACTTTATCTGGTCTCCGTCATGGAAGTTATTAGGAAAATGATGAGAAACGCTGAATCCGAGGAATATAAACACAGAGCTACTCGACAGTATCATAATAAGCCACATATTAAATACTAAACCAATGGTCATGCGGCCACAAAGCATCAGTATAGCTGGGATGACAAACATTAAAAGGTCAGTTCTATCATTCATTCGTTTGAACGTTCTGAAACAGGTTATAAATTATAATGTTATACTTACATTTATATTATGATATTATTTTAAATCATTTGTAGGTTTGGTTATAATATCACACTTCTTAGTCCCGATCGTAATAATATAACTACATAAACGTACCTGATGACAAATTGCCCAGGTGCAACGAGTGGGTAGGCAATGAGAGTAAGATACGGTACATAACGAACTAAGGGCGGTTTGTCTTCTGTCGGAAACCAATGAATAAACGGATGCAATAATGTCATTTCTAAGTCGTGTACAGTATTGGTGTAAACATGGTGACTGATTACATGCGATATTCTCCATTCTCTATATTATTATAAAAATAACGATAAAAATGGTACCTATTGAACTGCAGTACACGACCGACTATCAATGAAGCTATAGAATACTATTGGACATAACCTACCGTACTGAGAACATGCTTAGCTGCATGTAATACATCCTCCAATTGTCCTTAAGGTGAGTGAAATTATGACTTGCAACGGTTCCAAGACCCAAACTGATACCCGCCAATATAGCCAAAAATGTGCTTTGTGTTTGTGCGACTGTTGCGCAGAGGAGTAGTGTTGCGAAGAACCAAGTATCGATAACCAGCATAGATTTGATGGAGACATCACGACGGTTAATTTCGGATAACTTCTTTTTAACTCTAGACTTCAACACATTGTAAAATCCGTCGGGTTTGAACGTGAAAGGCGATTTCCTCGGTGTCTTCGCCCGACACACGTAGAATTTACCCATCACTTCCTTTGCGGCTTTTTGATTAAAATGATTTGTTTCAAATAATTCTGTAATATCCGTACCCTAAATATTTAATACATACATTATTTATGAGTGTATACGATTAATTAATCATTTGGGATTTGTCTGTCAATATTTACAATTATTCGATGACAAATTATAATTAATGAATTAATAAACCAAATGACGTTTTCCATATTATGTTAACCACCTATATTATTATAGAATAAAATATAAGTTTCCGTCATTGAGAATGGTGAGCTGATCATATGAAAATTGAAAATATGATTTTTTTTAAACATGTGTAACACGTGTAACATGAGTTACAGTATATATTGTATGCGCGCAGCAGCCCGCAAGTGTACTTATTTCTACGAAGTACATACTTTTGTAATTTCTAGCCATTGCGGCCCTCCAGGGTGCTTATGTATCCATTGTTTAAGATCATACAACCCATCGTAAATTCTCCACAACCCTTCAGCGCCATTTTCCTTTCGACGTGCCTCAATCCAACTGTCCGCCGATCTTATATTGTGGTCCGTACTTGATAAGTTATTCCAAACAGGCCAACTACTAACTCTCGGAGCCATAGTGCTGTATATATAGATCTAAAATAAAATAATAAAAAATAAAATTGTTTCTCTCTATTACATTGTATAAATGTTACACATATAGCCTATAATGAATAGTTATAAATATTAACTTATAACTTAAAAATATAAAATAGTGAATATAGTATATTCAATACTTCAATGTATACCCTACTATAGGGGGATCTAGAGAGAGAGTGGCTAGAGGCTGCCCCACTTCAGAACTGTATTTCTAAAAAAAATGTATATTGTTAAAAACAAAATTACAAAAATATATATTACACTTTCGAAAGTTTCTTAAAAATTGTTACTTAGACCCCTCACCCCTAGCACCTAGTTTCTTGAACTGCCCCTGTACTCGCTATTCATTATAGTGAGTGAACATAATATTATTATTGTATATAATTTACAAAATTGTTGCTTATAAATATTTTGTACGTAAAATGTACTCTAAAAGTATAAGATTGTATAACTCTTTATTAACTCAGGGTTAGGGTAGGAAAGTAGATTTAAGGACATTTGACTAAACTAATATAATTTAAGATGAAGTAATGAAGTGCATCTTAAAACTAGTAAACTACGGAATTATACAATCAAATTGTGAAAATATCAGCATCTAAAAAAAAAAAAATACAGACAGACTAAAAAAAGACATCAGTCTGTATATATATACTATTGCTATAAAGTGGGAACCTCCAATAACTCTAAAACAAAAATCATAAAACTTAATAACCATGGTTATTGCAATAACTTTTTCCGTGAAAGATGACGAAATACGCGGAATCTTAAGAATATATTCGTCATTGATAACACCCGATGATATTTTGAAGAAAATAGACCTTGAATAGGTACATATAATTTACATAAAAAATACCATAATTTTATATTTATAGTTATTATAGTCATAATCTGTTATTCTATTGCAATTAAATGAGAATATTTTTACACGTTTCTGAATGTCCGTATTATATAACATATAGGGTCACTGTGTGCACATATAGGGAAATGGAACTTATACACCACCATACATTTTTCTATTGATGTGTATTTTAGATTCTGAGAGATAAATGTATTGATTTTACAATGATGTGTGGGTGTTTTTTTTTAAATTTGTGTCCATCATCAACTTTGGGGATGGTTGATACTTTGGGGAATCAAAAGTAAAAAAATTCCCAAGAGTTTTTAAAAGCGTCTGGAAAAACAAACAAACAATTTAAGAAAAACTGAGATTTTTAGGAAAAACTAGTTTTTGAAAAAATCGATTTTGTTGTTTATCGACTGTCAAAAAAAATAACCGTAAATACATGACATTATTTTTACTAAATGTTTATATTATCAATTTCTATGCAATACAAAATCGAAATATTGCGACTCTTTTTTTAGCTCTTTATAAGCATAAGAAAATGTTGAGTTTTATTTGTTTTTTTTTATTACTTGTAGATAAAAAATTGTTTGCCCAGTCAAAAACTTGAAAATGTAATACGTTCCTCACAAATTGTTAGTAGAAATAAGAAAAAGGTGAGTGATACAGTCGAGTACTGGAGTAGTTGTCCACTACTCCATTTACTAAAATACTTAAAATGTTTATAACCAGTACCGTATACGGTTTAAGCGAGGATTTTTAAGGGCTAAAATATTTTGTAGCTAAGGTACTACCGTCTACCAGGTATAGTAAGTTTGACATTTCAGGGGGGGGGGGGTTAAGCTCTAAAGCTTAAACCTGGTTATGGTACTGCTTATAAGTTATAACTAATGAATTACTATGTCTGAAATTTGATCTTTATAGATTTAAATATCTACTCAAAATAATATTCTTCTTCGGGGTATGAAATAAAAAGTGTATGGCGTCGTTTAAAAAAGTAAAACACTTAAAAATGATAACGATATAAAATATAATTTTTTTCAGAAGTGTTGTTCTTAAATTACATTAAATTATATAAAAAGATTATTTTTAAAAAACTGAACTTTTCAAAATGATGAGTGTAGACTGTAGGTGTAGATTGTGATTGTGTAGACACTTAAATAGATCACTCTGTATAGGCAATCCATACATATATATATGTATAAAGTATTTTATAATATACTCTTGTCACTTAGTATATTTTGTATTTATTTCAACAAGATATTTTTGTCATTAAATGCTAAGTTTTTATTGCATATCATACAAAAATGAATAAAATATCAATCAATATTATATAAATTATAATGGGTTAAATATAATTATAGTCTATACTCTATAGGTATGACCGCATCTATTCGTATGGGTGGTAAAATAATTAGGAGTGGTTCAACCTTAAACTTTTTATAAATATTGTACCCGTAGCATATTAGCATATTACATTTATTAATATTTTTCTATTTTTTTTCCTATATACCTATTACCTATAATTATATAATATCCGCATATCGTTATTTGAATTTAATGAATAGATAAGTTCTAATTATTTATAAAACTACTGTACAATTGTTTACTCTTAATACATTTTAATTAAAACTGTAGCCTTCAAAAAAATTGAAAAACACAACAAAATTATTAACTTTTATGTAATATTATTCAAAATTAAAATTTTTTTTTAACTCATAAAAGTTTCAACAATTTATTTTTGTATTTAATATTTTTTGCTTATTTTAGTATTTTTAGTGCATATATTTAAATTATTATATCATTATTACTAATTATATTCTAAAAGAATATCAGTATTGAATATTTAATAAAAACAAAAAAAAGTTCAAATGACCTAACCGGTTATACCAACCGTATAACCTATCAAATAATGGCCTATCAATCCTCTAAATTAATTTGAACTATTTTAAAGTGATATTGCAATTGTTTTCTGTTGAAGTTTATTAACAAACTACCAATGAATATATTTTCTAGTAGTTGTGTTGATTAAAATTTTTAATATTTTCCATAAGAACCTTTTTTTTAAGAATTGTCTTATTTATAATTTAATATAATACATGCTTAAATATGTGAATGCATAACATTTTTTTTAGATCACCTAAATTACTAACTAGGTTCATTATCTTACCAGAAAATATGCTAAAATAGAAGATTAGAATAGAATAGAAGTATTTTTACTGCCTCAAAAAGTGATGGCAGTAACAAAAAAGTTGTTTTCAAAAAAAACACATCATTATAAAATCAATCTATTCATCAAAATATTAAAACGAATTTTATAAAAATGTTGACTGTTTAAAATAATATATAAATTAACTCATATGCCTATACCACGATAATACTATAATATGTATTAGTGCAGGCAAAATGAAATCCAAAATCGGGATATTTCGAGTATACGACAACAAACAACGTAGACACCCAGCTAAATACTATCAAATAGTTTGTAACCCAAGTACATTGGCCCAGAATTAAAACGAGGTTCGGCCTACCGTTAACTTTCCCGGTATACCAGTGGGAAATCTGCCGTTGAATCAACAAGACACAACGCACTTTCAAAAAAAAGTCGTCGTTCAAATCCATACACTCATCTACATCAACACTTCACAGTTTTCCCAAAACCACACATCGTTTAATACCGCAATCACTGCCATGTATCAATAATGCATACCTATTTTGACGATTCATCTAAAATACGCAGGTACCTACGACAAGACACCGTAGTTTTAACAATTCACAAAATAAAAAGAGTAGATTAGCATAAAGAAATTTCCAAATGTTCCTATATAATATAATTTATTCATAAATATTAAAATAACTTTAATTTAATAATTTATAACTCTTGGATGTAAAATAAATGTATTCTAATGTAAACATATGTCCTTTAATAGGTTTAATAGACACATATGTGATAGGTCACACTTGATTTTTTTGTGACTTATGTGTGTCAATAGTATAATCCGGATATATATCGTAACACACTATGGGACATGTTTTAAGTTTTTTTTGGATCGATTCTTTATCAGTAAAATTCAACAAAATATAACAAAAATCAAAATTTTTTCAAAAATGTTTTGGCTAACATTGTGTGACCCACACATGGAGCATATGGTAGTCAGCCTGTTAATATATTGTGAGTGAATCCAAAAAATGTATTGGTTTTATAATGATATACATATATTAAAATAATATTTTTTTCTTCCGTCATCACTTTTTGAGGCATTAAATATGCTCCGATTTTCTACATCAGTACATCTTTTATGGTAGGAAATCAAATCTAGTTGATATTTTGGAATGACAACAGTAAGAAATTACTAATATGCGTCGGAAAAAACGAAGAAAAATTAAGATTTTTAAGCAAAACTATTTTTAGACAAAATTAATTTTTTTTTTTTAGTGTAACTGTAATAAAAACTAATAACTTAACAGGAAAGAAGATGTATTAATAACAAGTCTAAGGATAGGAGTGATAGGACATACTCACTACGCACACGGTTATCGGCTGCCAGAACTAAACACAAAATTTCAGAGTTTCTGTATCAATCCCTAGGCCCGAACGTTTCAACAATCAAACAAACGCTAAGCTTCATTAAAGAAACAGAAGTAGATAATTTAATCTAGACAGTTAAAACGTATGTAAAAACAAATTATCACTGTAGAAATTAATATTATGTAAAACAAAAAAAATTCAATTGTCAGCTAATGGCCATCGCCGAGGCTTATTTCTAACTAGAAAAAAAACCTAATAATTTTAGATACCCCTCATTTTCCTGAAATGCTAGTACAACTATTTTCTATATTATGATAAAACATTCAAAATATTCCGTCTCTTTTTGAGTTACCTATTTATAGCCATAAGAATTTTTTTTTTAATTTTATACTTGGTTCCTCGTAAGTTGTTGTAAATTATAATAGCAATAAAAAAAACATTAAAAACACATAGACAAGATTTTTTTATTAGCATTTTAAGTTAAAATGTTGACGAAAATAATCAAAAACACGAACATTTGTAAACTATTTTTTAGTTAAAAATTTATAAAATGTTCAATTTTTGAACTAAAGGAGTAAAGTAATCAGTTCATACTTTAACCATAAAATCTAAAAAAATTAGTAAACACAGTTTTTTAAATAGATATTTAAGTTCAAATTTGGATGAAATAAGATAATTGAACTAAGAATAACCGACTTAGTTATTTTGTTGAACCTAATTTAAACTTTTAAGGTATATTACTATATTTATTATACACAATGACATTTTCAAAATATGAATGTTTTCTCCAAGAACTAATTCAATCTGTTGCATTGCTATTTACTAACAACAAAATCAATTATTACTTTAATAGCAATAATATGATTTTGTTTGTTTGCTCATGAGTCATGACCATACATATATTTCTCCATCTGCTTTTATACATTCAAAAGCATCTCTCCATGTACTCCAGGCTCCACCATTTTCACATTTCTAGTCTCTAACTATACAGTCCTCCTATCTTTAATACCTATATCAATAATATTATGAAATATGCTTAGTAATACCTATAGGCTGACAGACATAGTTTTCGCTCAGAACCGTTTTTCGTACCCAATGACTTCAGATTTATAAAGGTAAAAACAAAAATATAAAATGTGGTTTTTATTTATAGTCTTAAAATAGAGTTTTACTTACCTATTTAAAAAAAAATTGAAAATACAACGGCGGAATCAAACAATTTAAATTAACTTGTCGGATTACGAAAAATACAAGCATTGCATGTAGCTCAGACGATTATAAATTGACATATTAAATTAGATTCAAACAACGAGGCACCAATGCAATATGTATAAGGAACACAAGTCTCGACCAATAACATGCAAGGACAATCTTGTTTACCTACCATCCACTACTATATTATGTACTACTAATTACTATTGTCTGTTATTATGATTAAAAACAATTAAATATAATTTTAATTTGCCTTCTTGATCATATTAGTCTTACTTTAGCTTCAACAAATTAATTTCAAGTTCGTGATCATAAACAGTTAAACCTTATATTTCAATTTTCAATTTATTGTACGAACGTTCCTAGTTTGTGCACATTTTTACAACTCGTTTGCGCACAGATTATATACAATATAGCAGATACATTCCTATTATTAAAATGCCTACCCTACCTTTGGAAAGCTTCAGCTAAAATCGTTATGTTCATTATTTGATATTCCAGGCGTCTAGCCTAACTGTAATTTTAATATACCATATATTTTACGTATAATTTAAATACGTAAAATATATGCTGAAAAAACATAATCAGTAAATATAATCCTATAATGTTGAGCAATAGCTATTAAATTCGCAAAATATGGTATCTTCATTTCTTCTGGTGGCAATATCTGGCAGCGGCACATATACCGCAAGCAGAAAAAAATAATTAAAGCATTTACCGACCTTGGATGATTATTATTTTTATACTACTAATTTGTATTCCAAAAAACCAATAATGTGTTAAATTCAATATAAGTACAACATACCATTTTTAACCTAACCTTTAAAATTGAGTTTATGATTATATTTTTTTTTATACGTTTATATATTTCGTTGCCCATATAGTTAAATACGCTGAAGTTTATGTTTATTTTCTAAAAAAAATTATAAAATACTGACACGTAAGAATAATTATTAAAAATCGGGTAAATAGATGTCGCTCTGCTGTTCTGTAGGTTACAAGTGGGTCACATTACATGGTAATGGATGGTTTAAATTTGAATTCAATGATATAAAACCAAAGTATATAAAAAACGATTCTGAGCGTCAGTCTATAATATTACTAAGTATTTCGATGATATTATTATAGGTTAAATTAATTTTTGCCAAAAAAATTGCGTTTGAAAATACCATTGTGGGTATACACTATAATAATCTAAAAGTCCTACGAATAATATTTTTTAAATTACAACAAAATAATTTAAATCGTTTTTTTTTGGTTTTAATATGTAATTTCTTCCAAATTTGATCCCAAAATGTCTGTAAAAAAATAACTGGGTTTATATATTTTTTAGATGTTTTGGTTCCAGTATAAACAATTTTCACGTTTTTTCTTACTGCAGCAACTAGTTTCACTTTCCCATCACAGAAAATACTGAAGATGAAAATCGAAGCATTACTTCAACTATTTATCGTGTACACAGACACAAAAAAATATAGATCATTGAACAATCAATAAATTTATCGATCCACTCATAATGTCTGAAGTCGTATTTGATGTATCTAATTTGGTAATATAATTATAATTTAAAAATATGCACCAATTATGTTTGGTTGTTAGTTTGTTACTTAACCAGTACATAAAAACATTTTGATTATATTGACTTATTTATTTGTAGGCATGTAAAAAGAATTAGTCTTAAAAAGTTGAAACAATATATATAATAATAATAATAAAAATCAATTTACCTATTGGCTAAAAAACAGTTTGAATATGTTTACATAGTAATAGTTTCTAAACAATAACAAATCACTTCTAAAATAGTAATTAACCATCTATGATGATAATATTTGGCTTATTTCACAACTGTGGTATAACCTCATATAACATATAAAATAATAAATATGATTTATAAAAGAAACATCATGGGGCTCGTTGAAATGTGAAAAGTTGTGATATGTTGAAAATAAATTATTTAATTTTAAATTCAAATTAATATTCTCCAAGTCATTAATTCACCAAAACCACGATGTTATTAAATATACAATTGTATACAATCAATTTATATTTTTATAATAACTAATAATTTAAAGAATAAATAACTAGCCAATAACCTTAGCAGTTGAGGTAAATAAATGATTAAAAAAAGTAATAAATACTTATTGGTCAAAAACAACTATTTTTAAAGTGACCTACAAATTATACAAAATGAAATCTGGTTTTTTCTCTATCTCTTTATTTCATTAAAGTAGAATTATGTATGACTAAAGTCAGATTTTTTAATGATTATCAATTCATTTTTAATTATTTTAAATCCTGATTTTTTGTGTACCTATTCTTCTAATTGTAATGTAAATGTTTTATTGTACTTCCAATAAAACAATAAAAAAGTTGTGGATTTTTGAGTGTGAGAATAATATATTATGACGTGTTTATTTATTTAAATTTTTGATATTTTAAAGCTAGAAATATTAATTAACCACATATTAACATAATTTATTATACTGACAAAGTTCAGTTAGAGAATATTTGGGGATCTATGTCCGGGGGTATCCCTTAACCCCCTTGTTCTGCAGAGCATGTAGACTGTAAGTACAAATGTACAATTAATAATTATTTAAAATGCATAAGTATTGAGTGGTTAATAAAAAAAGTTAATTTTAGTGAACAAAGTGCTGTTGCTGATACAGTTATGCACAATTATTCACCTGATTGATTTTAGTTATGGTTTAAGGATTAAGGAGTCTCTCCAGATGCGCCTGAAATATGTCTAAACCTCAGGCATAACCTTTTAAGCTAAAAATCCTGTTCTCTGATATATGAATAGCCTTTTTCCACCAAACCCAAAAAAGATACTTACGATTCCCATTTCCGCAAAAATATAGATGAATTTCACTTAATAATATTTTTCTATGGCTTTGACAAACATCTAGACGAGGCTTATATAATTCCGCTATTGACGATAATCGTTGTGTGCTATTGTATAGTCTTTGGGATTATTCACAAAGTTTAAAAGCACTATTCCGTGATAAATAACACGTAGGTAGTCTGGAAATTAAAATCATTGGTTTCAAAATTGTTTGTGCTTTAGCAGAAACGAATCGCTGAAAAATGCCCAGAAAAAAAATCTAACGGAAAAAAAAATAAATATAAATGTGAACACATGTATATGCTCTACTTTTAATTACTAATTAATAATTCATAAATTATTATAGCCAATGTAGGCAATTTTATATAGGTACTAGTTCCAATCCACCTAAATAAAAATATGTGTTTCTTCGTACACTTCCTTTAAAAACTAGTAAATGTCTGAATTCTATACTAAAAAATGTCTAATTGTATATAATTTGTATTCCAAGACAACTGCGGTGGCGATGGCCGACGACTGACGAGTCTTTCAGCGATAATTACATCTGGACCGGATGAAAACAGCAGCGTCATCTGCCGGTCATGAGTTCAGCCTTCCGCTTTTTTGATATATTTTTCATAATTACGCAGATTTCTAATTGCTATTCTACAATCTGTGAATAATTTAATCAGTAGAAGTAGAGGGCCTATATAATGATTATCTAGGCTCTCTAGTATTTACTATTCATTATTTATCACTAAATAAATTTCAATTTTCAGTTATTGTAGATAACGTAAAGAACTCGAACTATGTCTTAGATATATCTTAGTCCATCGTAAAAAGCACGACTGTAGATGGTAGATGATATAGTTGTGGTAAAAGTAGCCATGCTATTTACAGCTCATACTGCTCTCATACATGCTTATAAGAGCTTACATAGTGCTTGACGCTTGTACAGTTGTACATATTATCTTCAGTTTGAGTCAATGTGTCTTAGTCCTTAGGATTGAAAATCAATATGAATCGAATGAATGCATACTACAAATTCACTGTATTGAATTCATAGTTCGTATAATAGTAAATATGAATGTAGGCATGTAGCATGTAAATAATATTGTAAAATAACGGTGATAATAGAATGCAAATAAGTAGATAGGTATACCCAGACATGGTATATCACCTATGTAACAGCGAAATTTGAAATTAACTTTTTATTTATACGTCTCCTCGGGTATTTTGATATACATTTTCGCCATAACATAGATGTCTAAATATCTGAAGTCCTCCAACCTCCATCAAAATATCATATTAATTAATAATCATTAATCATACACGTATGTTATCGGAACTGGTACACGCTCAATACGCCTGACCTATTCCAATATACTTTATTACTATCAATTTTTATTTATTATAGATACCAGCTATTTTATCTAATCTGTGATTCAAGGAGTAGAGAAATATATAGTTTTTAAATTTTAAATTAGCCTTGTATAAGGATGCCCACGCCGATTTCAAAGTCGATATAAATTGTATTGAAGTCCCGAAAGTCGATTATCGATAAAACATTTTTTATGATAAGACATAAATACATAATCATAATATAAGGTTATAACTTATAACTGAAACTGGTACACTACAGCATCATTCTTTTTATATTTATTATACTTATATGCTTAACAGATAAAATATCAATACAATAGTTAACCCGAACACCAGCGCACCAGTACAACAGTAGGACACTAGTATCAATAGCTGTGGCCACTAGCCAGTAGGTACAGCTTATTTATGAGTTAATAGTTATTATGTTTTTAGTTTATGTTCTGTAGTTCTTGGTTTATGTTCGATATAATTGTTCACGTCCATTAATTTACAAAACATAGTGCTTATATTTAAAATATTATAGAATTAATAGGTATTTGATTAAAAATATTATTTTCTAATATTCTAAATGTCTCAAGTTTGATTACTGCTCAGTACTTATGCAATATTATAATATATACCAGCTGTCCAGATACCTAGTATAAACTATATCTATGTGGCTATGTTATATATGTCTTTAATCTTTATAGATAGGTGCTTATAAATTATAATATGACCCATATATTATGTAGGTATGTTATATATACTTTTATACCACGCCGGAAACATTTAAATTCTCATACCTTATTGACCACAAAAAAAGGTATATAGGTAGAATTTCTGCCATCAGTGTCATCTTATCCAAGCACATAAAAAAGACTTTATGTCTTTAGAGCACAAAA